TTTTTTTATTTTTGTTAGTTGGACAAGATGAATTCAGTTGTATTGTTATTGGTCGAAATTCTATTGGAATATATAAAGAAAATGAACAAATATTAGAAATTGATTCACCATTACTTCAAGTAGTTATCAATGTATAAATGTTGTAAACATTTTCTTTTCTTCGTGTATTTTAGGAAACAACATCTTTAATAAGTTATTGTCCAATTGATGATGGTCGTCGATATTTAGTAACTGATGATTGTGGTAAACTTTATTTACTTATTCTTGAATCCAATAAACATAATGGAAGTTCATCAACAACAATTACTGATTTAAAAGTAATATAAAAAGAAAAAGAAAATATTTAGTTTAAGTTTTTTTTTTTTAGTTGAATCTTCTTGGTGAAATATCAATTAGTCGATATATAATTTATTTAGATAATAGTGTTGCTTTTATTGGTTCAAATTTTGGTGATAGTCAACTTATTCGAGTATATAAAATTCTTTTTTTTTATGAAGTTATTTTTTCAGGCTTTTTATTTTGTTTATAATTTAGCTTCTTCCAGAACCACAAAATGGTAGTCATTTAGAATTACTTGAATCATATACAAATCTTGGACCTATTCTTGATATGTCTATTATTGATCTTGAACGACAAGATCGACAAGTTAGATGCAAAATAATTCTATATTATATATTGAAAATTATTTTCGTTTTTTGTTTATGTATATAGTTAGTAACATGTTCAGGATATGCAAAAGATTCATCATTACGTTTTATTCGAACTGGTATTGGAATTCATGAACATGCATCAATTGATTTACGAAATATTAAAGGTTTATATTTCATTGCGTAGAAAATGAAGACTTGATTGTTTTTTTATATTATGAAATTTTATGAATTCATAGTAACGTATGATGCGAAAGTCTTAGTATGAAATATTCATTTCTTTATTCGGCTATTAAAAGGCAACGTTAGTTAGAATCAAACTTTTTTAGATCTTTCCAAATATGTGTTTACAATTTTTTTCTGGGATAAGATTCAATAATTAAAGGGTAGTCGAAACGTTTCGACCACTCTTATGAGGAAACATTTTCAAATGATTATTCACTTTTGAATTTGGATTCAATGCATAAGGTAGAGTCCAGTGAGATATGAAAAACTTCAAAAGGATAAGTCCCCTTATGCACTCTGTTCAGAGTTATAGGGGTTCTACTAGAATTTTAGTTTCTGCCATGGTAGATACTAACAAATCGAATAATGGTATTTCCATCTGAGATTTTGCTCATAGACAAATAAACCTGTCTATGAGTAAAATCTCAGGCCGGAATACTATTATTCGATTTGTTGATATATTCCATGCTTGAGACTAAAATTCTAGTAAAATGTCGATGACTTATACTTCGAAATGCATAAATGTAATTTTCATTTTACTAATCTTTAGTGAAGATTTTCATGTTACATTTTTTTTGAGAAAAATAAAACAAAAATTTTTTTTGTTCAATAAAATTTCTAAGTGATGTATGAGTTTATTAGATTGACATTTGGTATAAATATCAATAATCAAATTTTATGATTTATTGACATTGTTTTCGAATGAATTCTTTTAACCTTTATAAAATATTGTTAATCATTTTCTCAGATTTTTCTACAGTAAAATTTTTCTATATATTAATAATCTTTTTATTTGACATATTCATATTTACCTAAGTCTTGTCAAAACTGTCGGAAAGATAAATCGAAGCAACTGACATATTAGAAAATAGATTAGAAAAAGTAAACTTCATAAAATTAGGCGATTATCAATATGAAAGCTTTTAATAATATGAAATCCCATTAGACTGCAAATATAATTAGAAAATATGATGAATATTATTTCATTAAAATGATAGGTTTGATAAAAATAAACTCTGGGATCAAAAAAAAATATATAGGATGAAAATGTTTACTCGAACTTACAAAAATGAGTACTATATTTATGCATTTCGAAGTATCTTTTGTTTAGATGATAGCTCTAATCTTGACATATTTTGACCAATTAACCATTTATAAGTTTGTTATAAATATCATCGATTTACTGATGAGGGGTCGAAACTTTTCGACCAATCTTTATCATCAGATTGTTTCGAAAAGGTCTAATTGAGTGGCTGTGTAGAATACTATTCTGATCAATTTCAAAATGTGACACAGTTTTTAATAGTTCAGTTTTCTAGAGTAATGTTTGCTCTACAAAGTGTGCTATTTATTTTTGTATTTTTTAAAAGTTATTTTTGAAACAGTGATTTCCGATTTTCATAGAAACTAGTTTTTTAGTGAAAATCCATAGATGAGATTTTGCTTATTTGTAATATCTAATTCAGTGCTCTACAATAATGTTGAGTTGAAGCACAAACTAAGGACCGCACCAAAACCGTTGTTTTACTTTGTACAGATACAATTTTGACTTTTTTTTTTGCAAAATTTACTATTTCACCAGTTGTCTTTCAGGGGCCGAAACAATGAATGAATATTTTTTGCTAAGACTTTCACACAATAGATTATTTATTTTACTTTCGAAATTGATGATATTATTAATATATTTGAAAAACTTGATTGTGGAAAAAAATGAGTTTGATTAATTTCCTTTTTCTTTTTGTTTTCTAGGAATTTGGGCATTAAAAATTGATAATCAATATGATAATCATCTTGTTGTTGCATTCTTTGATCAAACAAGGTGAATTTTGTCTTTTACTTTTTTTTTGTTACTATTATATTATTATTATTAGATTATTTCATTTACAAAATGATGAAATTGAAGAAATTGAATTACCAGCATTTGATTTTCAACATCAAACATTATTTTGTACTAACGTTACATCTAATCAATATTTACAAGTGAAATTTTATTTCATTAAAAAAAAAAGAAAAAGAAAATGAATTTTCATTTGATTAGATAACAACTTATTCAATACGTTTAATTGGTAATAATGGTCAAAATTTACTTCTTGAATGGAAAAATGAAAATAATGAAATAACAGTTGCTTCATCAAATCAAACTCAATGTGTATGTGCTATTGGAAATGAATTATTCTATTTTGAAATTGGTCCAGCAAGTTTAAAAGAAATTAGGTAAATTAAATTATTAAAAAATAAAAATAAAAAAAGTGATTTTCAATTGATCTTTTTTCTTTTTTTTTCCAGTAAATGTCAATTACCATATAATATTGCTTGTTTGGATATAACACCATTAAATTCTCGAGATGAACGAACTAATCTTTGTGTTATTGGTCTTTGGACACAAATATCAGTTTGGATATGTCGATTACCAACACTTGATATTCTACATAGAGAATCATTAACATCAGGTAAATTTAGAGTAGAATTTTTCAGAAGTCGTCAAGAGTGGAAGAGGAAGGAATGACTCAAGAGACTGATTGAAAGATTTTTTTTTAAAAGCTAATTCTGTAGCATTAGAATCAGCTGTTTTTTCTTTGGTAATTCCCTGAGGACATCTCAAGTCACTCTTTGTTTATCTCTCAGTGATACAGAAGATGGATTCTATCTAATCATAACAATCAGTATTAGGATTGAAAAGTTATTGTTACGTTACTAGTTACCCAGTAACGGGTAACGGAAGATTTGTGAGTTTATCAAGGAAAGGCTATTTTTTCAAAAAGATACATTATAAAGTTTGATGAAAGATTTTCTGAACCAACAGAATCAGTTTTTTTCTTTTGGGAATTAGCGAACAAAAACCGTTGGAGAAAAATGAAACATTTTCAAGATTGAGAGTCTCACTTCTATCTACACTCGAGATAACCCTAATTAAGAGACATTCTGTTTTGTTTCGAACAATCTAATAAGATATTAAAATTGTAAACATTGTCATTATATTGTTTTACTTTTAGACACATTACCACGATCAGTAGCAATGATAACCTTTGATGGTCAACCATATGTTTTTGTTTCATTAGCTGATGGTCCTATTGTTTATTATTTACTTGATATTGAACATGGTTTATTATATGAACGAAAAAAAGTTCCATTAGGTACAAAACCTACAACATTAACTATTTGTCAACATACAGATTTATCTTCAACATCAAATAATTCACGTACTGTTTTATTTGCTTGTAGTGATCATCCATCAGTTATATCATCAACAAATAATAAACTTGTTTTTTCATCTGTTAATTTACGTGAAATTGTTTGTATGTGTTCATTTAATTCAGAATATTATGGACCAAGTTTAACATTAGTTACTGATATGGGTGTTATACTTGGTCGTATTGATGATATACAAAAGTTACATGTACGTTCATTAATATTAGGTGAATCAGTAAAACGTATTGCTTATATGGATGAAGAAAAAATTTATATTATTTTAACACAATATATGGATTTATATCAAACAGATAATATTGCACCTATTAGTAAACAAGCATATCAAAAAAATAGATTGTACAACTAATATAGAAAAAATGAAGGAATTGACAGAACAACAACAACAAGATGATGCTTATAATTCAATTGTTGTTCTTGATCAACATACACATGAAGGTAAGGATTTGTTTTCTGATTGAAAGATATTTAGTATTGTAATTGTATATTTGCGCGTTTAAAGAATCCAATGAAGTGATTTGGTCTAATGACACTTTAGAATGCTAAGAGAAAAAGAAGTTTATTGGACGATAAATGTAAAGAATTTAATTGATAAATTATACCAGAGTCTAGAACAAGTTCTCAGACAAATCAATTGTATATCTAAGTTTTTTTCTGACCATGAAATGCAAATATCATAATATTCGATGAAGTATTTTTGCTACTGAATGATGAGAAATGAATTTTTTTTTAATATCATTTTGATTGATCAGAATTATGATTAATAATAGATTGTGACTACATCATTCATTTATTTCTTTGGTTTTTTTTAAGGGGAAAACGACAGATTTCTGGAATTACAACAGACATCCTTGGACTACGAAATCCGCCGTTTTACCGTTTAGAAAAGTAGATCTGTTTCAGTCTCGAGGCTAGCATCTGTTGGATCGGATCTGGCTCGGAAAATTTTGGATCCGACAGATTCTTCTCTACACTGTAGTGTAATTAGCAAGATATTTTAAATTCAGACATAATTTTGTGTTGTGCAATGAAAAATCTAAAGGAATTATTCATTGATTCAACATATACTATAAGAAGAATCGAACGACAGGATTTCTCTCTTGTAAGCCAACTATGTATGCATCTTATGAAAAAGTATAGTCATCAAAATGGTCAAATTCAATACTCTTCATCTTAATACAAATGAAATATAATAGATTTCGAAATCAGTATATTGCTAGATACATATTCTAGACTTTTTTTTTTGCGAGTATTCTACTTTCAATATAGAATTAATTTCTTATAGCTAATCGATTTTTCTCGATTATTTTTAGCTCATACATCTGTTAAACTATTAAATAATGAAGAAGCAACTAGTCTATGTGTACTAACATTTGCTGATGATCCTTCAATACCATATATTGCTGTTGGTACAACAATTGTATTTAATGATGAAGATGTCCCAAAATGTGGTCGATTAATTTTATTTCGTTATAAAAATGGTCATATGAATATGGTTGCAGAAAAAGAATTAAATGATATACCATATAGAATGTTACCATTTCAAGGCAAATTACTTGTTTCAATTGGTACTTCAGTAAGAAAAATTAGATTAATAATTTTTTATTTTTTATTTTGATTAAATTCAATGAATATGTAGATTCGATTATATAAATTTTCATTGGAAAATCATGAATTAATACAATTATCGAAAACATCTATAGAGTGTGTTGAATGTTTAGAATTAAAAGTTAAAGATGATTTTATATTAACTGGTGATTTAATGAGATCATTAACAGTCCTTCGTTATAATGTTGATGAAAACAAATTTGAAAATGTAAAAATTTCTAAAAGAAATTCTTTTTCTACTAAATTATATAATTCTGATATCTAGATTGCACATGATCCTCATCCGCAATGGACAAAAGCATGTGAATTTATTGATGATGATACATTTGTATGTGCAGAAGATGGTGGAAATATAGTTTCATGTCATAAAAATAGTGGTTCAACTAAAGAACAAGAAAGAAATATATTAAATGAACTTGGATCATATCATTTAGGAGAAGAAATTAATTTATTTCGACGTGGTAAATATAGTTCGTTATTATTATTTATTTTCTTTTGTTATTAAATCACGAACCTATTGTAGAACTTACATATGTTTTCAAAGAAAATAGTGTGTGTAAGTTTTAAATCGAAGTTTTGCAGTTCCACTCGCTCAACTTTCTTCCAGTTGCAGATCATAGCAATTGAGAATAACAGACGTCAAACTCTTTTCTTCAAGTTTCTTGTCAACGGAAAAACGATAGTACTTCGACTGTCATTGAACTTCGGATGACTGGAATATACCTATGAGTATTCGAAATAACACAATTTCTGATTTTTATGCAGATAAAAATTTATATGTAAGATGTCAAGGATAATGAATAGTGATGTATTGATTTGTCACGGTCATCATATGTTCAATGTAAAAAAAGCGTGAAGTGATCAAGATATAACTTTACGATATAATCAATATTACCATTTGTAAGCTTGTCAAGGTATATAATAGTGCGTTGAATTCTGCAATAGATATAATGAATATGTACAAAAAGTGTATTTGCCAGTTAAGTCAATGATTAGAATAATAATAATAATAATGTTAAGCTTTAAAAAAGTGGAATATAAAAATGATAAGTTACAAAGCAAATAGAAAAAAAATTCTGTTCGAAATGCAGAAATAAATAAGAGATCGTTTTTTTGACGATCGATTATGCTTGAAAAACAACTAGTCTGCTAGAGATTTTTTCTGTTACGTATCTTGTGTTAATATAATGAGGTTGAAGAATACATGTGAGTTCTACATTTCAATTTCAAAGAAGCTGTACTAACAAGTTTTCTCTTTGAAATGGATAATTTAGTATTATAAGAATATTTTCTTTGACAACATCAATAAGTGTAAGATTCGTTTGCATTTTCTTCAATCGATTTCTAATAAAAACTTTGATTGAATGATATATAGATGTTGGAAATGATCTCTTGAAAACCGCGATTATACAAGGTAGATTTTAGTTTGTCTCATTACGTTTATATAGAATAGAAATGTACAAGGTAATCTTTTATCATACTCTGACTGAGAAAAATTTGCTAACTCTTATCATATCCTATCCTGCAGGATAGAGTAAGGTAGTCTTGCACATCTATAATATAGCATAAAATATTTTTATATGAATAATTCAAATAATTTTTCTGAGCTTAATCAAAATACAAAAAAAGAAAATATTTTCATTAATAATTATTGTCGTTCTAAAATCTATTACATATATCTTATAGGTTGTCTTGTTACACAACAAACATCTGAATCGGCGATTACACTTGAAACATGTATTTTAATGGGTGCTATATCTGGTTATATTGGTCTTCTTCTTCAATTACCACCAACATTATATAAATTACTTATGTCATTACAATTAGCATTAGCTGAATATGTTCCAAGTGTTGGTAAAATCGATCATGGTACATGGCGTTCATTTGATTCTGATGGACGTTCAAATGTTTCATCTGGTTTTGTTGATGGTGATCTTATTGAAACATATCTTGATTTACCAAAAACTGTTCAACATGACCTTATTAAAGATTTACATGTATGTTTTGATTTATTTATTTAGTTTGAAATATTTATTTATTTAATTTAGGGAGAAAATAATGTTCAATTAAATGCAACTGTTGAAGAATTAGTCAAAATAATTGAAGAACTTGCACGAATACATTGAACAGAATTTAAATTATAGTCTTTTCTATTTGCATATTGAATTCTGTTGCTTTTCTTTTTGTTTGTAACCCTTGATTTGATTGAAAAAGCCAAATAAAAGGAGCTCCTTTTTTATTATTATTTAAAATAATTTATGAAAACAAAAGTTAGTCAATATATCATTTGGTTTTTTTTTTCGATGATAAATGTCGATGTATTGACAATGTCAGCCATTGAACTTAAGTTCTGATATTATTTCAATGAAATTTGATAGTAGAAAAAAAAAATGAAACATTTTCTTAATGATAGTCATCCATGAAAGTTATGGTTGGTAATAAACATGATAGAACTATTAGTATGCATAGATCAACATTGAAGATATGCACAATTATTATAGGCTTTTTTTTCTCTTGTCGATTACGATCAATCAACTCCGATTTCTAATTTTATATGTACGTATATGTATGTACATTCAGCCAACCAAAGTCATCTATCTGTCAAATGAGCAATATATGTAAAAAAATGGGACGGTTCATTGATTTATCGGTTATTAGTTTGTTTCATTCGTTTTCATTGCAAACTCTTACATCATCAGTATATCTCGATTCACTTATATACCTACATACATTTGTGTGTATTGTACTGATAAATATGATGATGAACAACAGTGGAGGTTTTTATCCGGCACGTTATAATAAATCAACACCTTTCAATGGACTGTCCAATACTTTTACTATTGGCCGATCTTCTGTTCCACCGTTTTATAACGCGAAACTTCAACAAGGTCAACAGCAACAACAACAAAAACCTAAAAAACATTTAATAAATGAACAAAATCATGATACTATTTCAAATATTCCTTCATTTAAATTATATGATTTGGATACAAATGATAATAGTGAAATAATTCGGCTTATATTTTCATTTGCTGATGTTTCATATAAAAATAGACGTTTAAGACAAGATGAATGGGTTAAAATAAAAGAACAGATGCCATTTGAATATTTGCCTATATTACGTATAAATCATGAATTTATAATTTTTCAATTACATACTATTATACGTTATTTAGCAAGAGAGTTTCATTTATATGGTACAGGTCAACATGATCATGCTATTGTTGATATTGTTCATGAAACAATTCGTGAATTTCGAGAAAAAATTTTTCAACAAATTAATAATTCATCAAATAACAATGTTGAACAAACATTTCATCAATTAATAACACATTATTCAACAACATATTTACAACAATTAGAAAATTTTTATGGAATATTTAATCGTCAAGGTCCATTTTATTTAGGTTCATATATATCATTAGCTGATTTAATTGTTTATGATATGATAAATTATTTAATTAAAATTGATAAAAAATTACTTGATAGTTATTCTCATTTAAAAGAAGCATATCGACGTTTAGAAAAACATCCAAGGTTATTTAATTATATTAATGCAAAAATTAATAATAATGAAATTAAAAAACATCATCATAAATCTCCTTCAGAATCACGACGTCCTACAACAAAATCACCTATACCAGATGTACCGCCTCATCAACATCGACATCGATCATATGAAGGACATGAATCAGGTCATTATCATCATCATCGTCATCATCATCATCACCATCGTCATCCTCATCATCGAAATCATTCAAAAGAACCAACACCACATTCACATACCAAACAACGACCAATGACATTATCACAATCACCTAGTATTTCAACAAAAAATATCGAACCACCGCCAATTCCACAAACGAAACAACAATCAGTAAGACCATCACACTCACCTAGCGTTGCAACGAAAGGTATAGAACTACCACCACCACCACCAGTTCCACAAACCAAACAACGATCAATAAGATCATCAAAATCTCCTAGTAGTTCAAGAAAAGATAAAGAACTAACACCATTACGAGCAACTGATGTTATACCACCACCGCCACCACCAATACCACAGCCACCACCGCCCCCATCAATTACTCCTGAACATAAAATTTAATCTATAGATATTGGATTCTTTATATAAAAGCATTTTTTTTTCTTTAGCTGAACAAATAATAAAGCAAAAAAAAATTATTCATATGTTCTTTTTTTTTTCTTTATCGATGACCTCGTCCATGACAGTCATCACATAGTTCTGTATGTGTTTGACGACCATAACCATTGCATGAACAGTGTTTTGTATAATTCGACCAACTTGTTTGATCGTGACATCGACATATAGTACATTCATAATCAATATAAAGTCTTCCATGACCTGAACATTTCCAGCAACGTACTCTGGATTTACCTGTTCCTCCACGGCTATATGCTTCGTTTAGAAAATTGCTTAATCCTGAAAGTCGTGGTGGTTGACTGTATTCGGCACCCATATTAACTGCAAAATTCACCAACAGGGAGTTGTTTATATACAGATGTATGATTTTTTTCGCACGTGTGCTAATAGCAGGAATCTATAATTGTTCTTCGTTAAAATAATGGAAAAAAAACCAAAGATATTTGATATAACAGACGTGCTGATCAGTTGATCTTTTTGTCAAAGTTAATTATTCTATGCAAGATAACAGTAAACTTTCGATTAGAACGTGTCGAATGTTAATATATTTTATTTTCCATTTATGCTAAAATAATTTCATATAATCAAACATTTACATACACAACTTTTATTTAAAATATTCTATTTGTTAATTTATGTTTTGCACGTATTATTCTATAGAGTAAAGTTTTACATATAAAATACTTTGAAATCATATCTCATCAAATTCAAAATACTGTTTTTTTTTAATATTAAGAATATTAATCATTAAGTTCAACAATATCTATATTTGATAGAAGTTTATTCAAAAAATTGTCTTTCATGTGATATACAATACAAAGAAAGAAATTTCGATATTTATAAATTCTACGTATGACCATGCACAATTATTTCGAAGAGAAATTCATGTATAAGATATAATTAAATCTTGAGGGGAAAGGAAAAAAAGGCATAACAAAAGATTTAAAACATATCAATGAGATATTATTTGACGATATATTTATATCTCAAAAATATAGACTAAATCAATCGAAAAGAAAAAAAAAAGAAAACCAAACAAATCTAAAATTCTTTTTCTACTGCAATATCATAATGTCCATCATTTTCTTGATTATATGCTAATGTTAATACAGGTAAAGATTTCATTGATATTAATGGTTCATCTTGTGGACATATATCAATTAATGGACATTGACTAAGATTTGTTATTATTTTAATATTTATTCCAATTAAATTACTTATTGTTAATGGTAATATATCACCTAAAATTGATGAATAAAATTTATCCGAACGAAATTTTCGTATTTCATCATAATAATTAACGTCATTAATATATGGTTTATATTTTGTATGATTTATTTTCCATTCTAAACAAACTAATTTACGTAATGTACGTGCTAATTGTGTTATATTTGTAAATAAATTCTCAGGTAGATTTAAACGTTTTTTTATAGCTATACGAAAATAACGATCTTGATTAAATAATGTTATTAATTGACTAGCAATAGCAGTAAAAAAACAATTTCCATCACCATCAACTAATTGTCGTCGATAACCATAACATGAAAGATTTAAATCTAATTGTTCTTCAGCATTTAATGGTGTTAAAGATCTTTTTATTGGAGATTTTATTCTTTCTTTTTGTAGTAAGTCATTTGAATAAGTTTTTATTTCATTTGTTTGTTGATTTATTGTTTTTATTGGAAGTATATATTTAGTTTGATATGGTTGAGAATATGTATATGATAATATAGGTGTTTGTAAATAAATAATTGATGGTTGAGATGGTATGAAATTTAATAAAATATTATTATTATTATTACTACTATTATTATTATTAGCTGGTTGAATATAAAGATTTTCAATTGTATAAAGCATTTGGTCTGATATTCTTTATTGCTTATTTTATGTTTATTATATTGGTGTTATATAAGATTGAACAAAAAAAAACCGAGAATATGAAGAGTGCAAGGGACACGGTCGAATGAATAGGTATTAAAAATGAAAATCGTATGGTATACATGGACAAGGTCTTTTTAATCATTGTTGAACTACACTTACTAATCCTATATTTCTTTAATCACATGAAATACGTTATAGTGATTTTGATAGATACATAAAGATTAACTCAATGTAAATAAATATTATCATTTTTGTTATTGTAAAAGTTAAGTTTGTTTCTCCTTCTCTTTCTTCTTTTTCTATTTGTACGACATGATTATCAGTAATCGAAAAATAAAATTATGATGTTTAGATATATTTTACATTTTTGATTTGTTCTTCGAGAATGACTATGATGAATAACAAGTGCATTATAAAGAATTTAAATAATGACAATCGAGGTAATTCTTTTAGTTGTATGTTTTCTATCCGTCGTATATATATATAAGAAGAACGATGTTTATAGTTTCGTGTTCACTTTATCGACTGTGTTGTGGTCAGTTGTATTGATTTTATCTTTCGATTTTTTTGTGCGATAACGAATATGGTTAGTCTTATAATTTATATTGATATATTTCCTTCTTCATTTGTTTTTATAGTTGTCGCTCAGATTTGCATTACTTTTACTTATTGTCTTATATGTTAATGGTCAAACTACTGATATAAGTAATAATTACGACAAATTCTTCCTAGTTTTTTTTTCTGAATAATTTCTAATCTTTTAGATAGTTTAAATTCAACTAATGCAGAAAACAATGATCCTGTTGACAAACTTCATATTATTGAAGAAGGACAATACGAAAAATTAATATCGTCAAATGACGCGTATGTTAATATAATCTCTTCTATCATTACTTATTATTCATTTTTTCTTAGTAAAAAACCTCAATTAACTGAAAATCAAACATTATCTGTTCAACCATGTTTGTATTAATACATTATTTTTCATTCATTCAATTTGTTATCTTTCATTTTATTTTTCTTTTTTAGTATCATCACCATGTATTGGTGCTTATCCATCAAAAAAACTTGCATATAGAAAAGATAAAACAAAATATATTCTATGTAGTGATGAATTTCATTATGAAATCTTATCATGTTTAAATGATGGTGAATATAATGAACAAACAAATTCTTGTGAACGTATTATTACAACGATTAATAAATGTGAAGAAGAAAAACCATGTTTACATAATGGTCATTGTGTACCATTATTAAATTCAACATTTAAATGTATTTGTCATTCAGATTGGACTGGTGATAAATGTGAAATACCAATAAATTCATGTGTTAAAAATCCTTGTGGATCAAATGCTTTATGTCGTACATTAAAAATGATTGATTATGAACAAGATTATGTTTGTATTTGTGATCAATCTGAAAGTTATGGTCTTAATTGTCAAGATGGTATATTCATTAGTTTTATTTTTATTATTTCAAACAGTTAATTTTCTTTTTGTTTTAGTTGTACGTAATCCATGTTTAACAAGTAATGAACAATTTTTTCCATATGCATTTAGTCAACGTGCATATATTCAATGTGATGGTGATATTATTCATTTTCAACCATGTAGTACATTACTTTTTTGGAATCAAGAAGAAACAATTTGTGATCGTAAACGACCAACAAAAGTTCATTTACAAAAATTATTAACAAAATTAATATCAAAAACTAAGAATAAAAAACACCACGAGAAAATTGTAGAAAATATTAATAAAGAAATAATTACAACAACAACAACAACAACAACAACAATACAAAATGAACAAAAAAAGTACGAATAAAAACAAAAGTAAAAAATCTTCTTGTCGATTCAATCGGATGGGGTTGGTTTTTGATTGGTAGTAGAATTTTATTTAAAGTTTTCTTTTAGTACGACAAATAATAGTATTGTATATTATTATTGGTATCATGAAAGAAATTTTACATGTTACTAAATAAGAAAAATAAAAATGAAGAATTTTAAATAAGTTTTTACTACTAATCAAAAGGTCAACTCATTCGAATGAATCGAAGCGGAGATATATTACTTTCTCCTCGTAATGCTATTTATAGTTCACCATGTATTTTCTTTTTGAAAGAATTTTTATTCTTTATTTTTATTTATTTAATAGAAAAGATGAGAATGAAAATCATGATTCTTCGACTTTTATTCCAACAACAGTAACTCATACAGAAGAATTACAATCGAATATGGATATTCAACAAAGTAATAACTAAATATTCTATTTAGTATTATTCAATATTTGTTTGTTTTTCGTAGGTCTTGTAACTCAAAATGTACCTGAAGAAACTCCAGAATCATCAGGTATATTTTTTTCAAAATTTCCTATGTAAAAATTCATCAATCATTTATATAGAACCATTATTAGAATCAGTAGATTCAAAACAAATTCATCAAGACTCACAAATTGAAAATACCACATCACTTACGATTCCATCAGAACGAAATCAACCATTATCACAAACTAGTATGTTTTCTACTTAAACTAATTTATTAACTTCCCTATGAAACAAAAATCCTACAAAAAGTTGGTACACTCCATTGTACATAGTCTTTTGAGATAATTATTATTTGTATACAATAAGTGCCAATGTAAAAAGTAGACTGCTCAATAGGACTATCAAGTGATACTCGTCTAATTCATTTCTATCTAATCAATGTTTCTTCATCAGTGTTATCAATTTTTTGATATCATCTTGCTCAATGAAACTCTAGAATTGTAGTCTGATTTAAATGCTTACTGTTAATAAGTATTTTTTAATGAGAATGAATACAACTAAATACTATGGAGTGTACCAAATATTCATAGAAATAAGGATTAATGAGAAGAATTTCGGACTGAGTTGAAATTCTCATTTCTCATTAAAACTCGTTCTCTTGTCATTACAGGTATGCTACAATAAATAAACGTTTGAAATGTTTTGAATAAAATTCAAAATTAATTCTGTGTATTATATCAAATACAGAAAATAGGGCTAAGCTCTTCCTGTTTGAAAACAAACAAAAAAACTCTATTGAATTTTACATTTAAATTTTGTTGACATTGAGATAATGAATAATAAATAAAAATCTATTCAATTGATTTTTAATTATAGCTCAACAAGAATTAATATCAACTTCAACAGAAGTATCATCTACAACTGCTTATACTGATGATCAATCAGAAACTACACCAGAAAATCAACAACAAAGTATTTTTTCATTTAATCTATTCAAAAAATACTTTATTTATTTAGATTTTCCACAATCAAATCAAGTTTTTACTACTCAAAAATTAGATCAAACAACAGAAACAACAACAACACAAAATAATGAACATATTCTTCCTCAATCAACACAAGGTAAAAATTCTTTTTGACAAAAAATTCATATACATTTTTTCATTACTCAGAATCTTATACTACTCAATACCAACAACAACTTCAAAGTATAAACTTGTTTTTTTTTTCAATTAAATTTTGAACATATAAATTCTATTGAATTTTATAGAAGAAAATTTTCTTGAGACAACTACACAATCATACAAACCTATTCATTCACAAGGTTTGTCTATATCTTCATTCAATCTTCTAATATTTTTATCTACGATTTAGACTTTCAAAATCATGAAAAACCAATACAATCATGGCCAAAAATACCAGCAGATCAATTTACTCGAAATCAATTCTTAAAATCACTTCATTTAAATAGAAAACATAATCAAAATTTTGCTCCACAATCACAATCATGGCAAGGTAAGTTTCGTTTAAATAAACAAAATTCTCATATTTTATTGTGTACTAATTTAGGTTATCAAATCAATCGAATTCAACCATGGTTACACGGTATAATTTCTTTCTCTTCTGTGTCTTTTAGAATCTAATTCTATCGAATGTCATAGATCGAAATCAACAATCATGGGAAAATAAAGGAAATAGTTAGTTATATAATTTAGTTTATTATTAACAAAAAAAGAAAACATATTATTTATATAAATATAGATCAAATTCATCAAAATTCTATTCAATCTGAAACATCATCAATGAATATTGAACAACTTCCAGTGAAAAAAGAACAAAATTTTGTTAGTCAATCTATACAAAATCAATCATGGATACCAACCCATTATTCAGATCCAAATCATGATCAATTACAAAGTAAATATTTATTATCAAAAATAATTGTCTTACATATTTTCGATATGTAATATTATTCCATCGAAACAGATCATTTATGAAACGATCATTCGAAGTGATTTATCATGTTTGTCTTCATATTTCATCCAAAAGTAGAATAGATAGATCTTAAGAAGATATAGGAATGTTACTGAAACTTGTTGTCTATAGAAGATCTTGAATCTCCAGCGAAATCATACTTTTGAAATTTTGTTGAAATTAAGGCCTTAACTATAGAAAATTCATAACTCGATAATGTTATGTTGCGAACTTTTGAAATGAACTAGTCTAGTTTAGATCTTCATTTGGATTCAGATCGAAATTCAAAAGTATGATTTTACTGAAGAATTGTGGATAAAATATGAGAGCAAACACAGCTAATCATATCAATCAATTTCCTTGTTAACTATATTATTTTTTAATAGGAGAAGAAAAACTACAACACAACCAACAACAAGAAAAACAAAGTATGTACTTCTTGTTTTTATTTTTCATTTAATTCATTAAAATATCGTTTATTTATTTAGATCTTCCACAAACAAATCCAGTATTTGGTACTCAACAATGGTTAAGTAAGTTCCTGAACAATCTTTATTCGAAATAATTTATTTTTGAAAAATTAGATCGAATACCAGAAAAGAAACCACTAAATTATCAACATACTTTTACTCAATTACAATCAGGACAAGGTAAAATTCTTTTTTACGAAAAAATTCGTATATTTTCTCGTTAATTAGAATCTCATATCACTCCAAATCAACACGAATTTCAAGGTATAAATTTTCTTTTAACTAAAATTTTGAAATATAAATTCTATTGAATTTTATAGATCAAAGTCAAGAAACATTCCTTGAAACAACTACACAACCATACAAAATTTTCCTTTTACAAGGTTTATTTATCTCATCAATGATTTCTAATTTAATTTGATTTATTATCTAGGTTTTCAAAATCCACAAAAGCATGAACAATCACAGCAACATAAATTTTTCACTCAACAAATTAATGGTAAATATTATGTTTATACATATATATGATTTATAATTTAAATTCATTATAGATCAACCAATAAAATCTCATGTTAATCAACATATTAATTTTCAATCAAGACCATGGCAAAGTACAAATTTTTTATTACATATTATAAAAATCTATTCATATTCATAATAGGAATATCAAAACCAAGTAGAATACTAGAATTTCCATTAACAAGTAAATTATATATTCTTATAACTTTATATAAATATATGAGGAAGTATATTTTCTTTTAGATCGAAATAAAGACTACTCAATCATTGATACTTCTTCTCAAATACCAAATAGTCAATTTGAATTAAATCAACAACATCAAGGTATATTTATTAAATCTTTTTTTTTTTCGTTATAAAATATTTTATTTTTATTATTTTAGATTTATTTAATCAAAATTCATTTGAACAAAAACAACCATGGTCAAGCAATCAACAATTTCAAAGTAAGATTTTCTTTCGAAATTAATTTTCTATAATAAATAAAAATTTTCATAGATCCAATAAGTCAATCGAAAGACTTTGATGACTTAAAACTACAAACTTCTCAAGGTTTTACTACTCATCCGGTGGTATCTTCTCAAAACCAACCATCATTACAAACTGGTAAAAATAAAATTTCTTATATATTCTTCAATTCATATTATATTTAGGACAACAATTAAATGCAAATTCTTTTGAAACAACGACAAAATCTAACGAAAATATTCTTCCAGGTGAATTATTTATTCTATTCAAAGTCTTAGATTCATCGTTTTTTTTTATCTATTTATGAAGAACATTCAATACAACATCCACATCAATGGCAATCAAGTCGAACAGTTGAACAACAACAACAACATCAATCAAATCATAATCAAATAGAACAAGAAAAAGCTCAAGGTGTGCTTATTTATAATAATTCTAGATTTTAAATTTAAATTTATTTATCTAGATCCGTTACCGACTTTATCATCAGGATCATGGAACTACTGATCATAATCAATTACCTGCAATCGAAACAACACTTTTATTTTATCATAATTTAAAAAATAACAATCATTCAACGTATAAGTGTTCTTATTCATTTTTAACGATATGTATTTGTATTTTTATTTCAAAGATTTGTTATTATCATTTTTTCGAGTTAACTTACTATTAAAAAAAGAAAATAAATAAAAGATATTCTAAATTTTTTATCTCGTAACTAAATATTCAAAAAAAAAAGATTAATTCGAACAGTTAATCTTAATGAATATGGAAGACGTTCTTTATTTTTGCATACATGTCAAAACAATAATCCTTTTCAGTTACGAGCTAACTTACACTAATTTAAAATTTGAGGGTATGAGCAAAGAGAAAATAGATATATTCACAACGAATTTAAAACCAATCATAAGAAAAAGTTCTCATTCAACAAGGATCACCCTGAACTACGTCGAAATTGGTTACGGCAGCTCTTATCAACCATCGTCCCACACAGAATATGTTTGAAATAAAACATATGCGCAATCAGGAATGCAAAATGCAACAATTTATTATCATGAAGAGAGATTATCAATTTATTTTTCTTCGGATACTTCTTTATATGTCTTTCCTGCGGTAGTATATCCTAACACGGAACCTGATATAGTTCCAGCACAACCACCACCGGCTGCTCCCATTGTCGTGCCAAGAGCACCGACCGTCGCAACACCGATCAAACCTCCTGCAAATCCACCTGCTACAGCACCAGCAACAGCACCTGTCAACTGACCTGCCGCCTTGTCGTCGGTGATGAACTTTCCAATTCCACCAGATAAGGCACCAGTGGCACCACCCACCACGAAGCCCCATGCCAAAGGATTCAAAGCCATAGTATTCAGTTTACCTGTTAAGAAAATTATATATCATTTAACAGCAAACAGCAACTTCTTTTTATATCAATCGATATATATATCTATTGATTCGTAAAAAATGAATCAAAGCAATAACAGAAGAATAATTAAGAAGGCGATAAAACAAAGATGGTTGGAATACTAGATCTTATCCCTTAATATTTGTAAAAGAAGTTTTTGTCTTTTAAACAAAGATAGAGATGCATGCATTTCGACTTTACCAAGAAATAAAAGCTCTGCTTCATTTTACTTTGATCATAAACAGTGAACATACTAGTAAAGCACGATATATTCTTAGAGCTTCTAGATTTAACTATAATAGTTTGTTACTCAGTTACTTACGTGATGATTAATTTTGAAATATTTGTGATTGTCGAAAAATACTAAAAGTATATTTTTTTATTCATGTATGACCTTTTATATACTTTTTATCTGGTGCCAGAATCATAAATCGAGTTTTTTTCCAAGCGCATGAGTCACTACTGACATAAGATATCATAAGTAAGAGCGGCTGAATCTCTTAGGATGCTTTTTACCATCCATATTCTGTCGGATTTATCCTACGGCAGCCGCTTAATATTGTTGCGTATTCTTTTCTTCGATTCCTTCTTGTTTTTTTCTTTCTTATCTTAATCCATTGGGTTTTTTCCTCATGAATAATTTGTGGCATCAATACTATTTTATTATTTTCGAAAAATTCCAGCTTATGACGACTGCAATAGATATGATGTATATAAAAGACAAAACGATATTGAAAAAAATACGCTCAAAATTTCTCGACACTCGCAAAGATTTACTTTACAATTAATTACTAGGTAAAAAGTTTATTGTTTTTATTACTTAGCTGACGAATGACCGATTCCAGTTGATTTCTTTTCTTTGAGTTTGTATTGTGTTCATAAGAAGCCCCCGATCAAATTAGTTCAAGACAAAAACATACATATTATGTGTCACTTAGTTAGTGTTAACTTACTTGACCAGAATTTTCAGTTTCTATGTCAGATATTTAATCCTTAGAAACATTGTCCTAAGAATTCATATACTACTAATCAACGCGAATTTTTTTCTGAATAGATCAAACGAACAGCATGGCATGTCCATTGTTATGAGGTGGCACTGTCAGTGGTGCTGTTGGTGGAGCTGTTGGTGGTGCTATCGGTGGGGCAACAGGTGTATTGACTAAGAACAAAGAATGTGGACAGATGGTGGGTGGTGTAACTGGTGGTGTAACGGGCGCAGTTTCAGGTGGTGCTGTAGGATATGCGATAATGCCTACTCCACTAGGTGCGATTGGCGGTGGTACTTCAGGAACTATTGCTGGAACTGGTGCTGGCTATACAGCTGCTGGCGTAGTCTACGATGGTGTGAGATGGAAATAACTCCAAACTTTTAAAATCAAACCGTTTCATTTCTAAATATATCAGTTTTTTTTTGTTTCAATAAATGATTTGTTCTGTTACAAGTCTACTTATTTGGATGTGAGTGTGATTTCTATATAAGCAAAAACCAAGCCGTCATATGATGCGTTTCGAAGGGGGATATAATTCATTCATCATCAGGTATGTTGGATGTGAATACGTCCAGCATGTCATGATCTAGAACTCGACTTTGTTAAAGGGGATCTTCATCAGATAGCTTTGAATCTGTTATACTTGTTCGAAATGATTTCAAAGTAGAAACCAAAAGCAAAGTATAAGGTTCTATAGAAAATTCACAAAGGACTCGAAAGAATCAAATGTAGAATCGATAGATAAATTTCTAACGGTAGTGCATCTAGTGTACCATGATCCAGATATCATGCCGGCTAAGATATTCATCAAATGATGTAATTTGATTGAATTGTAGCTAATGTGTCTTCTATGAAACAACAAATATTGATGTTCGATTGATATCTCTTCGAGATCCAAATCTATGAGAAACAACCAAAGTCAATCCTGACCCTAACTTTTCCCTACCTTTTTGTAAAACCCTGAGAAGACTTGACTTATGTCTCCAAAATGCATTAGTTTCCACAACAAATATCAAAGAATATAACTCACAATTAAAAAAATCTGTAGTATTCAATCTAATTTACTGGTAGACAATTGGCAAACTTTGTACATTATATAGCTTCTAGTAAGGTATGAGAAATCCCAAAAGTATAAATCTTCTCTTAGCCCTTTCTTCGAGAGTACCAGTCATTTGTATCGTGTTTATCTCATTTATTTTTCTCTCACATAAATATTTCTCACGAGTTTTATTTGGTATAATATTTGTACTAGTTTTATCTATGCTAAAAGTATTCGAAATTATCCATTATTTAATATGGATGTACTTAGAGCAATATTCAGGATCAAAAATTTTACCGGCAAGGATTACATATATATTTTGATTTATACTTGTATGTCAGTGCTAAACTAATATCATATACAATATCAAGAGAAGTTAATCTTTCAAAACATAAATTCGTAAATTATTTTCTGACAATAGCTTAATTTCCTATAAAATATTGTCATGATCACATTTGTATTGTGTGACTATAGAGAGAAGAGAACAATAATGAACTATACAAATTTATTCGATGAAAAATACATTTTTCTTTTTTATTTAATTCATTGTAAAAAATAAAAGATAACTTTCGAGATCTTTTGAAACTCCTAAATTGGATACTGTGCAATGTTTATCAATTGAATCTATATTTAGAAGCATTTTTGTTCTACATATAGATTTTAACGATCCAATTTCTTTTGTTGGTTCAATAAAATTTTTGATAAATAACCATAAAATTTGTTTAATTTTTGAATCTTTATCATTAGCTGAACAATATCTTATTAATAATTTTTTATTAATTGTTTGAATATTAATTGATTTATAATAAACAGTAATAAATAATTCATAAAGTTGTCGAAGTATTAATTGACGTTGTTTTATTGTTATAGCATCATTTGATTCAACAATATAAGGCCAATCACCTAATGATTGACAAACAAGTGATTCTAAATCAACAAAAATTGTTGCATGATCTGTTTTAAGTATAATATCAGAAAATAAAATTTGTTTTTTAAAAAGTATTGTTAAAATTTTGGTTACATATGGTGCACGTGTACGACGATAAGCTTTTGTTAAATGATGTAATTTTGCACCATTGGATATGAATAAATCAAATAATAATGAAAATTTTTGTAGTGATATTTCCTTCATATATAAATTATTTTTTGAAAATAAATAACATGATAAAAATAAATCAAATGGTGTTTGATTACTTTTCGATAATTTATTTATATTTGATATTGAAATACATTTTATCATTGATGGAAGTACTTCATCAATACCCAATTCACAAGCAACATGAAAACAAGTTAATTGTCGTTTACGTGTACTTATTAAACATGGATCTATAGATGAATAATTAAGAAGAATACGTATTGCTTCGACATTTGTACGAAATATAGCATATAATAACGGGGATTGATTATCATAATCAACAGTATTTGGATTGATCTATTTAAAAAAAAAAACTCGATTTATTATTAACGGGATAAAAATTTCTTTGAATATTACTTACACCTCCTTCTTCAATTACAAAACTAATTAGATTATTTTTATGTAAAAGTATACATTCATGTAAAAGCGATATACCATAATAAGTTTGTTTAAAATCAGCACCATATTGATTTAATAATTTTAATATATCTAAATTTCCATATCGAATTACACAGAGTAATATTCGATTTGTAATACGAGCTTGAAAATCAAGTAATTGTTTAATAAAATCTAATGATTGACCACTTTCAATAGCATGAAATAATGGTGCTCGACTAGTTGCATCTTCAACATCGATTAGATAATGTTTATCTTGTTGATTAATTTCAATTAAGATATTTTTTAATAATAATAATTTATCATTATTCTCATCACGAGAATCACAACAACAATTAATAAGTCGCTGTTGGATTGTCGAAACTGCAGACATCGGAGAAAACAGAGCGCAATTGATGTTTTTCCTGTAAATATATATTATGTCCTATGACAAGAAAAGAAACAGAACGAGAAAAAAAAACCTAAAGAATTCGAGCACTCATATGACGTTGTTTTTTTTTCTTTTGTTGCATCACTATATGACCAAAAAAGGCAAAACAGATTAGAGAGAAGAGAACAGGAGAACAAAATTGATTTCTCTTTTCTTTGACTCACACTTGTCAATATGTATGAAAGAGAGAAAACATATACTTTATCCATGTATCACGTATGTATATATATATATACACATATAAACACTAGTATGATTTTCCAGAACATAATGACTCATTTTTCGATATACGTAATGCTGACATATATTTCACAGATAATAAACCTGTTAAGAAATTACATATCAATCAATATATGAAACACATGTAAACTTCAAATCAAGAGAAAGATTTCTGAATATTTAATCCATTAATTTGTAATTATAAGGATATTTTAAAAATGTATATCGTAATGTAATTGACAGTTCACTATAGGAAGACAAGTAACCGTACGCAAAATCTTTAAAAAGCATTGAATTCAACTAAGAATTGAACACAATACGACAAAAAATTAGTTGATGAATGTTAATGACAAATAATCTGATGAGCTCATTTGAACTAATCTTTTTAACTTAACTCATCAGAAGTATCTAAAACAAATGAGAGTAATATGAAATATATTTATATTAGTTTTACTTCCAATTACAAATTTTCTCTTCCGAAGTGATGATTTAAAACTCCAGTGGGCGAACACTTATTGTTCAGGCCATAGACACATTGTACAGGAAGCACAAACGCTATGAAGTCAATCCAATCTTCAAAGGTGTGGTTAATTTGTCTGTAAATTTCATTTCAAACTTGATTAAAAACTATCTTACAAAAAAAAAATCTTTGATTTCTTAACTTTCTTTATATATTTAACTGTAAGTTTTATTTTACATTCTGCATTATATTCAATCATTAAATATTTATTTATTTATTTAAATTCTCGAATGTATTCTCATTTTTATTGCTTTCTGTTCTATACACATAAAATGCGAGTTATAAATACGTTTTTTTCTCTCACAAACAACAAATACAATTTAGTCAAAATAGAGAATGTTTTATAAGCATACACACACACATACACAAATACATTAAAGTCAAAGAATATTCAAATCATAATACAAGCTATGTATAAGATGATATATATATATATATATATATCGATAATACAGACAAAAAGAAAACTAAAAGGAAAAAACAAACAAACAAACAAACAAACAAATCGAATTACTTAACGGAGAAAATCTTTTTCAAGAATATGAGGTAAAATAGAAAAATTTTTATTATTTTCAATATGTGTTGGTAATACTTTAGTTTGATGTTTTTTTTGTTCATCATTATCAATATCACGTATAGATGATAATATTAATTTATCTTCAAAATTTTCTCTATAAGTTGATAAATCCATTGAATGTATCATTGGTGTAGATATTTTTGATGATTGTGCTGAATAATATTTTTCATTATCATCATCGATTATTTGTTGATTATTTATTGTTGGTGATATGATTGGATTTTTTTGACTAGAATTTTGTGAAGAAGATGATGATGCTGATGATAAAAGAATAAGTGAATTAGGTCGAATTGGTGAATAAAATGGTTCTGATCGATAATCAATATTTATAAATTCATTTGTTTGTTTAATTGTATCATTTATTATTGGTGTTGAATT